CGTGTAGGTGTAAATGAACATGTATGTGTATGTGTACGTGCTTGTGTTTGTGCATGTGCATGTGCATGTGTATGTGTATGTGTATGCATGCATGTATGCATGCATGTGTATGTATGTATGTATGTATGTATGTATGTATGTATGTATGCATGCCGGGTTGTCTGCCTGTCTGTCTGTACATACGTACGTAGGTAGGTCGTAGGTAGGTAGGTCTGCATGTATGTATGTATGTAGGTAGGTAGGTAGGTAGGTAGGTAGGTAGGTATGTTTGTGTGAAGGTAAATCTAAAACAAATCAGCTGACCCTGTTGGCGTGTGGAAGACGCGTCGTCATTGTCGTCCTCTTGTTGTCGTCGGCGTTCTCCTGGTCGCCGTCGCCGTCTCCACTCCACTGAGTCCTTCTCCTCCAACGTTTCAGCCAAAACAAAAATGACGGACGTTGAGATTAAATCGAAGGGGAGCCCCTTCACTTTGATCCCTTCCCCGCCCCAGGGGTGGGGGAGGTACCAGGGGGTGTCCTGGAGGGCGTCCCGGGATGGGTTCCGGGGGGGTGTCTCGGGGCGGGAGGTCCCAGGGGGGGGGGTCCGTCCTGGGGGGGTCCCGGGTCAGAATGCTACCCTTCCGGAAAATCTCAGGACGTCGTCGTCGTTGTCGTCGTCGTCGTTGTCGTCGTCGTCGTCGTCGTCGTCGTCGTCGTTGTCGCCGTGGTCGTCGTCGTCGTTCAGGGTCGGCGACAACTGGCCGTAAAGCCTCTCCAATATATTCGGCGTCGGGGACACCGCTAGAGTCCGGGACGGATGAAGATGAGGAAGCCCGTAGGTTTGTCCTTCCCTCCCCTCCTTCTCCTCCTCCCCCTCCTCCCCTTCCCCTTCCCCCTCTCCCTCCCCCTCCCCCCTCCACCCCTCCCCCTCCCTCTCCCCCTCCTCCTCCCTCTCCTCCCCTCTCCTCCTCCCCTCCTCCTCCTCCTCTCTTCCTCCTTCTCCTCCTCCTCCTCCTCCTCCTCCTCCTCCATCCCTGTCCTTCTAGATCACCCCTCCCTGTCGTACCCCCAGACTTGTTGGTGGGGCGGGCGGGGCGTTGTGCTTGATTCAGCAGCTTGAGAGTTCCAACAGTTTCCAGGATGGAGTCGTTGTGGTTTTCAACATGGGGGTCTTGCCTTATTGCCGCGCGCATTCGCCAGAAAACCTTGCAGCAATGAGAGCGATGGAGGGCGGTGCGTTCTCAAAATGGGCATCTCGCCTCAGCGCCGTGCGCATTTGTCCTAAAAGGTTTCACCAGAAGATGGAAATGCGGTCTTTTTTCAAAGTGGGACTGTCGCCGAAAAATCTCTGGGACTCATGGCCACAAGCCTGAACACATGTTACGAGTGCACGGATGGAAGGCGATTCTTTTTGAACATGGCGCCATCGCTCGAAACGTACTCACATTTGTTTGATGGCCATAAATGTAAACTTGCGCAACGTTTGCACGGATGGGGTTCCTTTTCAAAGCGAAGCTCGCTGGACACCACCACATTGAACTTTATGGCCATACATTTTCGCGTTCCCTATTGTTCGCCAGAAGGATGCAACGCAATTCCAGTTCAAGACGTGGCTCTCGCCTGATTGGCAGGCCATAAGGTATGCTCGTGTTGCAGGGGGGGCGCTTCTTGTAGTGAAGTGGAAGGCTTATGCGGACCTTTCAGCATGGGACTTAGGGTGGACCTATCAGTATGGGACCTATCAACATCGTTGATGCATCCTCGGTTTACTCTGGTACTCCTCCTCCTCTTGCTCCTCTTCCTCCTGCTCCTCCTCTCCCTCCTTTCCCTCCTCCTCCTCCTCCTCCTCGTCTCCTCTCCTCCTCCTCATCCTTTCCCTCCTTTCCGTCTTCCATTCCTTTTCCTTCTACATAACTTTGCCCTGTCGCACCCAGAAGGAAGTTTTTAGGGCGGTCCGGGCGTTTCGCCTGAGAATTCGTCACTACTTATGACTCTGAAGATTAAACATTGGCAACCGTTTCACATGGAGGGCGGGTCGTTTTCAAAATGTGGCTCCCGTCTTAGCGCGGCGCACATTCGCTTAAACATATTGCAAGAGTTTCACGGATTGAGGGCGGCTCGTTTTCAAAATGTGGCTCTCGCCTTAGCGCGGCGCACATTCGTTTTAAACATTTGCAGGAGTTTCACGGATTGAGGGCGGGTCGTTTTCAAAGTGTGGCTCTCGCCTTAGCGCGGCGCATATTTAGTATACAAATTGCAAGAGCCTCACATATTGAGGGCGGTTTCTTTTCAGAATGTGGCTCTCGCCTTAGCGCGGCACGCATTCGTTTAACAAATGCAAGAGTTCCACGGCTCCCCATCATCAACTTGCTAGGAATAGTGTTTTGAAAGGATTCAGGGACTTGCTGGTGCAACAATTATGTTGATCCGCTGTGTTGAAATCCCAAGAATGGCGTTATGGCACGATTCAGGATTGCCAAGACGCAACAGTCAGGTTGATCCGTGGCGTTGGAATCCCGAGAACAATGTTTTGGCATGCTCCAGGGTCTTCAAACGATTTGTCTTTCAAAGAGGCAGTTCCTTCAATGGAAAGGAACCGTTGCAGGGGCCTATGAAGAGGGAGCTTGGAGGGAGGGTTTATTCCAACCTCGTTGATGCCTCTTCGGTTTACACTAGTCCACCTCCTCCTCCTCCTCCTCCTCCTCTTTTTCCTCCTCTTCCTCTCCTCCTCAGCTCCTCATCCGCTTCCTCCTCTCCCTTCTCCTCCTCCCCCCTCTCCGTAGTCATTTTGGCTGCAGCTCCCGCCGTGGCATGCTCATACCATTGCGCCGACCCTCCGCTTCAGTCCAGCTCCAGCTCCTCCCCCTCCCCTCCCCCTCCCCCCGGTGCTCTCCCGCTGCTTGCCTCTGGCGGGTGCGCGACCGCCTCGGGGGGGGGCGTCCGGTGTTGCTCACGCCCCCTGGCCGCGCACCCGTCTCCTGCGCCTGCCCGCTCTCTTTCCGCTCCCTCCCGCCCTTCTAGTCCCCCGCCAGGCCGAGCAAGAGCAGGGCGGCCGGCCTGCGGTCGCGGACTCCAGTCCCCGAGGGCCCGGGGGCTCCCCGAAGGTGCGGGGCGCGAGGAACCACTCGGCTGCCCCGGGCCCCAGGAGGTGGAGGGGCCACAGGGGGGCGACCGAGTCAAGACCACCCCCGTCGCGGCAGACTGAAAGCAAGCAGGGCGCGCAGGAGGAGAAAGAAACACGAGGAGATGAGGAGAAAGGACGGCCGCCACGACGTCCACGACGTCCACGACGACGACGACGACGACCGCGGCGACGACGCATCCACGGCGGCGGCGGCGACGGCGACGACGAGCCCGACGAAGCCGCTGCCGCCTCCCCGGTCGCTGAGGGCCGCCGAGAGCGTCCGAAGGCAGCCGAGGGCGTCGGAGGGCCGACGAGGGCCGTCGAGGGTCTCCGGCGGCCGCGGAGGGCCGCCGAGGGCGGCGGCGGCGCTGGGCTCCTGGAGCAGGGGGCTGGGTTGTCCCTGCCCTGCACCAGGTCCCGCAGGCCAGGCGCCTGCCGGGAGGGCGGTGAACCGGCGTCGTCGTCGTCGTCGTCGTCGTCGTCGTCGTCGTCGTCGTCGTCGTCGAAGTCATGTCGTGGGCGGCGGCGGCGGCGTCGTGGTCGTGGTGGTCGTGTTCGTCGTGGTCGTCGTCGTTTTCGTCGTGGTCGTTGTCGCGGTCGTGGTCGTCGTCATCGGAGTCGTGTCGTCGTCGTCGTCGTCGTCGTCGTCGTCGTCGTCGTCGTCGTCGTAGTCGTCGCACACGCCGCCACCGTCGTCGTCCTCGCTGTCGACTTTTCCGTTGTGTCGTCGTCGTCGTCGTCGTCGTCGTCGTGGCCTTCGTCGTCGGCGTTCTCGTCCGCCTTTTCCGTCCTTCCTTCTGCCCCAGCCTTCCTCCTCCTTCCCGCAGAGCGATGGGTTGGAGGAGGAAAAAAGAGACAGAAGGACGAGCAATAGGAGGAGGGACGGGAGGAGGGCAAGCGAGCGGAGGAGGAGGCGGAGGAGGAGGAGGGGGACCAGTGTAAATCCAAGACTCATCAACGAAGTTGAACGCCACGAATCGACCTGACTGTTGCGTCTTCACGATCCTGAACAGTGCCAGAACGCCATTCTTGGGACTTCAACACAGCGAATCAACGTGACTGTTGCGCCCTCACAATCCAGAGTCCTTCCCGAACACCAATACTGGTACGTTGACCATGAGTACCCGTGAAACTCTTGCAAATATTTAAACCGAATGTGTGCGGTGCTGACTAAAGCGAGAACCATTTTCTGAAAACAAGCCTGCCCTGAACCCGTGAAACTCTTGCAATATTAAAAACGAATGTGCGCGGCACTAGAGCGAGAATCACATTGACAAAACCACCCCACCCGCCCTCCATCCGTGGTTCTCTTGCAAAATTATAAGACGAATGTGCACAAGGCTAAGGCGAGAGCCGCATTTTGAAAACGACCCGCCCTCAATCCGTGAAGCTCTTGCAAATTGTCCAATCGAATGTGCGCGGCGCTAAAGCGAGAGCTTCATTAAAAAACCACCCACCTTCATCTGTGAAACTATTGTCAATGTCTGCGTTTCAAAGCCATCAATGGTGAGGACGCCTCAAGCAAAACACCCGGCCCGCCTTTTCGACAGGCCTCGGGGTGCGACGGGGAGGATTTTTTTTTTCAAGAGTGTGGTGGCCGAGCGGTCATTCACTGTGTCACTGTCCCTGGGTGCGTGGCTGAAGTGGGCTTCCGCAGTGCGGATTGAAATGTCATTTCAAAGAAATAATTATTGTTGATCCCCCCTTTCGGTGACCATGTGATTTTTCATTTAAATTGTTCCTCCCGGGGCTCGCACCCTGTTTTTTACAAGGGAAGACAAGGGTTACCAAATTGCGTTGCTGGGCCCCGAATTACAACAACAACGGCTCCGGCCAGATACTTCCTTACAATTTATTCCTACATGGCGCTGTCGCGCGGGACTTCCTCACAACTCATGCAGGCATCGCGCTCTTGCGTGGGACTTCCTCGCCATTTATTCAGACGGCGCGCCCTCGCCCCTCAGGGGTCATGCTCTCGCTCTGGATTTTTCATGATTTATTTGAGAATCGCGCTATCGCCCGAGACTTCCCCGCGATTCTTGCAGGACGCACGCTTCAGCGACCCGCCTGCCCCTTGTCCCTTCCTTCCGTCCGTCCTCTTCTCCCCTGCCTTAGAAGCTGCACGAAATAAATATTACAGGTCAGAGAGATATACCCTTGAGGGCGTACGATCGAAGACGAAGAGGGCGGGTATCGAGGGTTTGGGGATACGCGTTGAATGGCACGCGAGCGGATACTAGCGAAAATCCATATATTGATCGTTGTTGTTGTTGCTGCTGCTGTCGTCGTCGTTCTTGTTGTTGCTGCTGCTGCTGCTGCTGCTGTTGTTGTTGTTGTTGTTGAACTCTCACTACTGAAAACTACTTATTGTTGATCCCCCCTCCGGTAACATATGTTTTTTTCAATTGCAGTGCTCCTCCCGGGGCTAGCACCCTGTACACAAAGGAAATATTCATCCTCAAACTGCGCCCCTGGCTCTCGGACTTCCACAACAACGGTTTCCGCCTGATATTTCCTCCCAATTTACACAAAGGAATTGCGCTCTCGCTTCATTTATCTAAGAATCGCGCTCTCGCCTGTGACTTCCTCCAATTTATTCAAGCGCCACGCCCTCGCCATTCAGGAATCGCGCTCTCGCCTTGGAGTTCTTTATAATCTACTTAGGAATCGCGCTCTCGCCCAGGACTTCCTGGCGAATTATGCAAGACTCACGCACTCGCGTAAAATACGTGCTTTTTCAAATGAAGTGTCCCTCACGGGGCTCGCTCTGTTTATATTCGCGAAAATCTTCCTGCTCAAACTGTGCCTCTGGCCCCCGGTTTACAGCAACAGCGGCTCCCGCCTGCTAGTTTCCCACAACTTATTCACAAATCGTGCTCTCGCGAGGGGCTTCCTCACAATCTAGTGCAGGAGTCACACTCTCGCGTGGGACATCCTGGCGATTTATTCAGGCGCCACGCCGTCGACACTCAGGAATCACGCTCTCGCCGTGGATTCTTTCAAGACTTATGGGGGAATCGCGCTGTCGCTCGAACTTCCTTGCGACTCATGCAGGACGCACGCTTTAGCAACCCGCCTGCTCGACCTGCCCGTCTAAACCCATACGCGTTGCGGGTAAGAAAGATACACCCCGAAGGGCACGATCGAAGACGAACAGGGCGGGCATCGAGGGTTTAGGATATACATGTTGAATGGCACGCGGGCAAGGTAAAACGATCATTATTCAATTTATGGTTGTTGTTGTTGCTGTTGCTGTTGCTGTTGCTGTTGTTGCTGTTGTTGTTGTTGTTGTTATTGCTATCATTGCTGTTGTTGCTGTTGTTGTTGTTGTAGAGCTTGAACCGGCCCCCCCACAAAGTGGGGGTATTGGCGGGCGTCGTATGAAAACCATGGCACTGGTGAGAACGGAGTGTCCCCACGTGCTAGTAATTGTTGTTGTTGTTGTTGTTGTTGTTGTTGTTGTTGTTGTTGTTGTTGTTGTTGTTGTTGTTGTTGAACTCTCACTAATGAAGAGTAACTATTGTTGATCCCCCCTCCGGTGCACATTGTATTTTTCCAATTGAAGTGCCCCTCCCGGCGCTCGCACCGGGCTTTCTATCAGGGAAAAATCATCGTCCTCAAACTGTGCCTGTGGCCCCCCCGGATACAACAACGACGGCTCCCGCCTGAGACTTCATCACGATCTAGCCAGGACCCCCGCTCCCGCGTGAGATTTCCTCGCGTTTTACTCAGGAAGCGCACTCTCGCTGGGGACGTGCTTGCATTTTACTTACACGTAGCGCCCTTGCGTTCGAATTTCCCGCGATTTACTTAAGCGCCGCGCTCCAGACATTCAGGCACCCAGGAGTCGCGCTCACGCCTAAGACCCCCTCATCGGGATCTCGCTGCCCTTCGTGGCCCCGCTCCAGCCCTTCGTGGCCCCCTCGCAGCCCTTCGTGGACCCGTTGCAGCCCTTCGTGGCCCCCTCGCTGCCCTTCGTGGCCCCGCTGCAGCCCCTCGTGGCCACCTCGCTGCCCTTCGTGGCCCCGTTGCAACCCTTCGTGGCCCCCTTGCTGCCCTTCGTGGCCCCGTTGCAGCCTTTCGCGGCCCCGTCGCAGCCCTTCGTGGCCCCGTTGCAGCCCCTCGTGGCCCCCTTGCTGCCCTTCGTGGCCCCGTTGCAACCCCTCGTGGCCACCTCGCTGCCCTTCGTGGCCCCGTTGCAGCCCTTCGTGGCCCCCTCGCTTCCCTTCGTGGCCCCGTTGCAGCCCTTCGTGGCCCCTCGTTGCCTTTCGTGGCCCCATATGCATGCCCTTCGTGGCCCCGCTGCCGCCCTTCGTGGCCCCTTCGCTGCCCTTCGTGGCCCCGTTGCTGCCCTCAGCGGCCCCGTCCTTGCCGTCCGCGGCCCAATATAAATACGTCTGCCCTTCGTGGCCCCCGCTCGTTCGCGCCCGTCGTGGTGGCCCCATGTGCATGCCCTTCGTGGCCCCGTTGTAGCCCTTCGTGGCCCCCTCGCTGTCCTACGTGGTCCAGTTGCTACCCTCAGTGGCCCCGTCGTTGCCTTCTGTGGCTCCGCATTATCTGCCCTTCGTGGCCCCCTACGCATGCCGTTCGTGAGCCCGCTGTCGCCCTTCGTTGCCTACTTCGTGCCCTTCGTGGCCCTGCTGTCGTCGTCGTCGTCGTCGCCGTCGTCGTCGACGTCATCGTCGTCGTCGTCGTCGGTCTCCTGTCCGTTCCTCTTGGGGTCGGGTTGCCGCCGATCGCCGCTGCCGCTGGCCTTGCCGACGGTCCGCGGCCGCCCCGCCGCTTACCGCGGCCCGGCCTGCAGGGAAGAAAGGTACACCCCCAAAAAAGGGCACGATCGAAGACGAAGAGGGCGGGTATCGACGGTTTGGGAAATACGGGTTAACGGACACTCGAGCAGATAAGAGCGAACACTCTTGACATGATGGTTGTTGTTGTTGTTGTTGTTGTTGTTGTTGTTGTTGTTGTTGTTGTTGTTATTGTTATTGTTGTTGGATTCTCATTTCTAAAGAATAAGTGTCGTTGATCCCCCTGCCCAATAACAATTGTCCTTTTTAATTTAAAATGCTCCTCCCGTTGCTCGCGCCCTGTTTTGGTTTACAACAACAGCGGCTCCCGCCAGATATTTCCTCACAATTTATTTCAAATGCGCGCTCTCGCGCGGGACTTCGTCATACTTTCGCAGGGATCGCGCTCTCGCGTGGGACTTTCTCTCAGTTGATTCAAGCATCGCGCCTCCAACCCTTAAGAATTACGTTGTCGCTCTGGCCTTTCTCTCCGCTTACTTGAAAATCGCGCTATCGCTCGAGACTCCCTCGCGATTCATGCTCGCGCTTCGGCAGCCCACCTGCTCGACTTGGCCGCCTGGGCCCGCCTTCCCGACCCGCCCATCAGGGTCTACCCGCCCTGTCTGCCTGTCTGGCTTCGCCACG